TCATGGATGAGCCGTGGGGGAGTCATGGACGATCGTGGGGGAGTCATGGATGAGTCGTGGGGGAGTCATGGATGAGTCGTGGGGGAGTCATGGATTTGTCATGGGTGAGTCATGGATGAGTCGTGGGGGAGCCATGGATGAGTCGTGGGGAGCCATGGATGAGTCGTGGGGGAGTCATGGATGAGTCGTGGGGGAGTCATGGATGAGTCGCGGGTGAGTCATGGATGAGTCGTGGGGGAGTCATGGATGAGTCGTGGGGAGCCATGGATGAGTCGTGGGGAGCCATGGATGAGTCGTGGGTGAGTCATGGATGAGTCGTGGGGGAGTCATGGATGAGTCGTGGGGGAGCCATGGATGAGTCGTGGGGGAGTCATGGATGAGTCGTGGGGGAGCCATGGATGAGTCGTGGGGGAGTCATGGATGAGTCGTGGGGGAGTCATGCATGAGTCGTCGGGGAGTCATGGATGAGTCGTGGGTGAGACTGAGCAGGGAAAGAAAATTTAAAACGTTGTAAAGAGAAATACAGAATAATTAATGTGAAGATGTTAAATGACAATAAAAATAGAACCAAGAATGAGGCACAATACTGTGAATGGAACAACCCAGAAGTAACCCGCACATAGGAGAGAGGAGCTTACGACGGCATTTCTCTCCGACTTGGACCATTTACATTTTACAAAGTCACACTGTGACTTTGTGTAAAAATAGCAAGAGTTGTAGTGAAGCAGCCAGCCCGTCTGAGACAACAAGAAAACGAGTTCTCTGACTGGCCATCATAGCAGAAGAGATAATCCCTGAGCGATGTGTTCATACCACTGGGAGACCGTCCAGTGAGGTGGTTGTTATGGGTGGAACAACAACTGTAGGTTCTACAGTTTATGTAGTGTTCTCTGTAGGTTCTACAGTTTATGTAGTGTTCTCTGTAGGTTCTACAGTTTATGTAGTGTTCTCTGTAGGTTCTACAGTTTATGTAGTGTTCTCTGTAGGTTCTACAGTTTATGTAGTGTTCTCTGTAGGTTCTACAGTTTATGTAGTGTTCTCTGTAGGTTCTACAGTTTATGTAGTGTTCTCTGTAGGTTCTACAGTTTTATGTAGTGTTCTCTGTAGGTTTACAGTTTATGTAGTGTTCTCTGTAGGTTCTACAGTTTATGTAGTGTTCTCTGTAGGTTCTACAGTTTATGTAGTGTTCTCTGTAGGTTCTACAGTTTATGTAGTGTTCTCTGTAGGTTCTACAGTTTATGTAGTGTTCTCTGTAGGTTCTACAGTTTATGTAGTGTTCTCTGTAGTTCTACAGTTTATGTAGTGTTCTCTGTAGGTTCTACAGTTTATGTAGTGTTCTCTGTAGGTTCTACAGTTTATGTAGTGTTCTCTGTAGGTTCTACAGTTTATGTAGTGTTCTCTGTAGGTCTACAGTTTATGTAGTGTTCTCTGTAGGTTCTACAGTTTATGTAGTGTTCTCTGTAGGTTCTACAGTTTATGTAGTGTTCTCTGTAGGTTCTACAGTTTATGTAGTGTTCTCTGTAGGTTCTACAGTTTATGTAGTGTTCTCTGTAGGTTCTACAGTTTATGTAGTGTTCTCTGTAGGTTCTACAGTTTATGTAGTGTTCTCTGTAGGTTCTACAGTTTATGTAGTGTTCTCTGTAGGTTCTACAGTTTAGTAGTGTTCTCTGTAGGTTCTACAGTTTATGTAGTGTTCTCTGTAGGTTCTACAGTTTATGTAGTGTTCTCTGTAGGTTCTACAGTTTTATGTAGTGTTCTCTGTAGGTTCTACAGTTTATGTAGTGTTCTCTGTAGGTTCTACAGTTTATGTAGTGTTCTCTGTAGGTTCTACAGTTTATGTAGTGTTCTCTGTAGGTTCTACAGTTTATGTAGTGTTTCTCTGTAGGTTCTACAGTTTATGTAGTGTTCTCTGTAGGTTCTACAGTTTATGTAGTGTTCTCTGTAGGTTCTACAGTTTATGTAGTGTTCTCTGTAGGTTCTACAGTTTATGTAGTGTTCTCTGTAGGTTCTACAGTTTATGTAGTGTTCTCTGTAGGTTCTACAGTTTATGTAGTGTTCTCTGTAGGTTCTACAGTTTATGTAGTGTTCTCTGTAGGTTCTACAGTTTATGTAGTGTTCTCTGTAGGTTCTACAGTTTATGTAGTGTTCTCTGTAGGTTCTACAGTTTATGTAGTGTTCTCTGTAGGTTCTACAGTTTATGTAGTGTTCTCTGTAGGTTCTACAGTTTGTAGTGTTCTACTGTAGGTTCTACAGTTTTATGTAGTGTTCTCTAGTTCTACAGTTTATGTAAGTGTTCTCTGTAGGTTCTACAGTTTATGTAGTGTTCTCTGTAGGTTCTCCAGTTTATGTAGTGTTCTCTGTAGGTTCTCCAGTTTATGTAGTGTTCTCTGTAGGTTCTACAGTTTATGTAGTGTTCTCTGTAGGTTCTACAGTTTATGTAGTGTTCTCTGTAGGTCTACAGTTTATGTAGTGTTCTCTGTAGTTCTCCAGTTTATGTAGTGTTCTCTGTAGGTTCTACAGTTTATGTAGTGTTCTCTGTAGGTTCTACAGTTTATGTAGTGTTCTCTGTAGGTTCTACAGTTTATGTAGTGTTCTCTGTAGGTTCTACAGTTTATGTAGTGTTCTCTGTAGGTTCTACAGTTTATGTAGTGTTCTCTGTAGGTTCTCCAGTTTATGATGTTATAAACGTCCACAGGAGTAGTCTCATTTTGATGCTTCAAGGAAGGCTTCTCGCTACTTGTTAATCAATCTTAATCCAATTATTCGGAATTACTCTACATTTCCAAGGAGTATACCTGGAGGGTGTACCTAGGGTTAACACCTCCGCTACCCTGTCCATGACCAGGCCTCGCGGTGAATCAGGGTCTGATCAACCAGGCTGTTACTGGCACCCACACACAAACCGACGTGCGGACCACCGCCCGGCTATTCAGCTACTGACTTTAGGTAACTGTCCACCTCCTCCTTCAAGACAACTTGGGGTCTATTGGTGAATTTTATTTCCTTCAGTTTCCCTGGCTCTATATGACATCTATATCATTAGCTCTCCCTCTGATTGCAATAATAATACTAATAATAATAATAATAATAATCATAATAATAATAATAATAATAATATAATAATAATAATAATAATAATTATTATTATTATTATTATTATTATTATTATTATATTATTATTATTATTATTAACATTTTTAATGATAAGCCGTTTCTAACTATCTCCAAAAATAATTTCAATGCATTTTAGATTGCTGGCATAACAGTTGACCTACATTCAGTTTTTATTAAATCTGGTTTGCATTTCTGGCAACCTCCTGTTATCACTGCTATGTGGTGCTCACATAACAGTGACTCTGACATACAAGACTCACATATGGTCATCTCATGGTAGACTCCCAGTGCCCTTTGAGACCCCTCAAATTTATTGGTGAGCCAACACCTTTTGATTGACTGTCCTATTTTTGTTTCCTGTTTTATTTCCAACCTCTTGTTCAGTGTCTCAAGCCCCCCCCCTCACTCTGACTGTCCACCTCTCAGAATGAGCCAACTTTAATCCAGACTCGATTGTTCCTAACTTAACCAAACCATACACCCGGCCGGGATTGAACCCGCGGTCAGAGAGTCTCAAAACTCCAACCCGTCGCGTTAGCCACTAGACCAGCTAGCCACAGTAAGATTCATCCAATTAGGTATATTTCTACACCATAGGAAGGTTAGCACAGGCACCTCTGTGACCACAAATGCAAGTTTTTACAGACGAATCTCCAGCTAGCGTGGCCGTGACGAACTCTAGCTCAAGTCCCTTCACTGCCGTCAACATGACTCAAGAAATCGTAATGACACGATTGCAAACAAACCATACCCCCGGCCGGGATTGAACCCGCGGTCATAGAGTCTCAAAACTCCAGCCCGTCGCGTTAGCCACAAGACCAGCTAGCCACAATAAGATTCATCCACCTAGGTATATTTCTACACCATAGGAAGGTTAGCACAGGCACCACTGTGACCACAATCTTATTGTGGCTAGCTGGTCTAGTGGCTAACGCGACGGGCTGGAGTTTTGAGACTCTCTGACCGCGGGTTCAATCCCGGCCGGGGGTATGGTTTGTTTGCAATCGTGTCATTACGATTTCTTGAGTCATGTTCCTAACTTTAGTTTTGAGCACCAGAATCTACCCTTCTTGCTGCTTTACCCTGTCATCGGTACCTCTCCATTATATGTTCTTCTCTGAGCAATATGCAAATGATACATTTTCTTGAATATAATGTTAATTAATATTAATGTAATGTAATATATATTTTTACGGTCGATGTTACTTGCTTCCTCAAACTGTTCCTGAAGAGTTTTTAAAGTTGCTAGTTTCACTTTTTTTAAAATAGTGAAGAGGAAAGGTTTAAGCAACTCGGCAGGTCACTGGTTTGTGCTCTATATCCTCTTATATAATGAACAAAAGATCTTTGAAAAATATTAATGAAAATGCTATCTACCAGTGAACTTCAAACTGTTCAATAGCAGATGTGAACACTTTAACAATCAGTGGTGTTCAGACGCACTGTTCATTAATACTCCTCTGCTGAAAGCAGCCTCTCTCCCATTGCCAACAAGACACTCGTACATGGGTATTTTAACATGGATCTCTTAGTAAAAGTATTGGATCTGTAAGTCAAAACTCTAGCAATATTTCTTTAATAAGATAAATGAAATTAACTCTTCGTGAAGCCTTCAGGGAGGATGAACCCTTAATGCTGGTGAGGAAATCTTGATCTTTAGAAATTGGAATCAGTTTCATGAAGTGTTTTTTTGACCCTCACAGATTTTTCTTTTTTTTTTTTGACCCTCACAGATTTTTTTTTTTGTTTTTTGACCCTCACAGATGTTTTTTTGACTCTCACACTGCTTAAAGAAAGTTTAGCACTTGTGAGGGGCTTCTAAGCAAAGAAAATTGACTTTTCATCTCCTTCCTTAGATTAAATTAAACATATAAAATAATACATACTTTATATCCATATGGGATTTCGGAAGATGAAGTAGCATCAGGAGGGAGATGGTCAACCAGGTTTCGCACCTGGTCAAGGGTAAGGTAATTCTTAGAAGCATTTCCAATGTAGTCAAAGTGGTGGTGGTGGTCCTTGGATGCTTCATCGAAGATGAAGAAGACTTCGGAGGCTGCTACGAGTCCCAGCTCGGTGACAGCCAAGAGTAACACTCGTACTGGACCTGTCACCTCAGGGAACACTTGTGCGCTGGTCCCCGACGTCTGTAATGTTAAATTTGGTGAAAATTTGGTACATGATACTAACAAACTCTAGTAAGAGACACGTGAGAAAGCACCATGAACATTCTATTATGGATACTTTTTAATCTTGTGACCTTATTCACTCCATATATACATGTTTATGTTAGCAAAGGTACATGAGAGATAAGCTGAACTTTAGCGAGATCTGCTGGGCTGAACCACTGTGAGACCACCTGATGGTCGTGTTCCAGGTGGGCAGGATAAAACAGGTAAGCTTATTCAGGTTAACACAGATACAGTTACATAGATTATCATACATAGAATCATATGTGTAGAGAACCTATCACATTTGTCACAGCGTCCTTCTCTCTGCACAACCATCTTTGTTACTGCTATCACAGGTACTTCTAAACTTTAGCGTCTCCTTCAGTCTGGCTCCTTGATGACAAGTTGATCTTCTTTCCATTTCATTGGATGCTTCCAGGTATTTATTTGAAGCACACAGGGATTATTTTGTTCATCTCTGCTACATACGGATTTTTGTTAAGTAAACGACACAAGCGCAGCTAATACGACATTTTATTGTGGCAACGTTTCGCTCTCCAGGAGCTTCGTCAAGCTGTTATGGTTTCTTTCCTGGAGAGCGAAACGTTGCCACAATAAAATATCACAATAGTTGCATTTGTGTCCTTCAAGTTTACACATTGTCGGAAATTCTACCAATATTAATACATTGCGTATTTTTGTTTGTTGATCCCATCAGATAGCTTAGTCATCAGTTTCCTCCACGTATTACTCATCACAGTGTCTGCACTGAATTGTGCACACCAGCAGCTGATACTGGGAAAGTAACAGCAGGCCGCTTTCAGGTGAGATATTTGACGGATGCAACAGCTATAGTGGCCACATTCACAGCATTCTTGGCTACTTCCTTAAGGGTGTTGCCACATCATCATAATGGACGAGTTATAAACCTTTTTGTGGTACATTCGTAAGGTGTAATATTTAGGATGCCTGATTTGTTCACTTACAGTCATAGATGAACGAAGGGAAGTGAAGATATGTCAGAGTTTAAAGAATTTAAGCAAATTTATCCTTGAGAAAAGTAGTGCCTCTCAGAGACCGGTAAGACTCAGCGCCAAATGTCTGTCTGGGCTTCTGGACACAATTAGCCTCACACACTTGAAATATTCAGTAGTTCTTGTGTCTTGTATCACCAGTAACATCATGGAAAAAACATGCCTTCTTTTCACGTAATATCTCTGTTTATTAACGTCCTTACTGTAGCCACAATCGACATAATCAATGAAATCACAGATGAAAGTGGAAGAAATGATACCCACATTTTGGATGAAAGGACAGAAGGGAATAAATTTAGGACACTTTTATTGGACACTTTTCTGTCCCGGGACGTTGGTCACTCCAGATAACTGCTGCAGCATATGGGCGCCTGGCAAACCTGAGAACAGCATTCCGATACCTTAGTAAGGAATCATTCAAGAAACTGTACACCGTGTATGTCAGGCCCATACTGGAGTATGCAGCACCTGTTTGGAACCCGCACTTGATAAAGCACGTCAAGAAACTAGAGAAAGTACAAAGGTTTGCGACAAGGTTAGTTCCAGAGCTAAGGGGAATGTCCTATGAAGAAAGATTAAGGGAAATCGGCCCTGACGACACTGGAGGACAGGAGGGTCAGGGGAGACATGATAACGACATATAAAATACTGCGTGGAATAGACAAGGTGGACGAAGACAGGATGTTCCAGGGAGGGGACACAGAAACAAGAGGCCACAATTGGAAGTTGAAGACACAAATGAGTCAGAGAGATAGTAGGAAGTATTTCTTCAGTCATAGAGTTGTAAGGCAGTGGAATACCCTAGAAAATGACGTAGTGGAGGCAGGAACCATACACAGTTTTAAGACGAGGTTTGATAAAGCTCATGGAGCGGGGAGAGAGAGGGCCTAGTAGCAACCGGTGAAGAGGCGGGGCCAGGAGCTAGGACTCGACCCCTGCAACCACAAATAGGTGAGTACAAATAGGTGAGTACAAAGGTCTCAGAACAAAACATATATAATAATGATGTCTTTTCATCTGGATCACTGTCAGACATCACTGTGGTCTGGCATAACTTTATTCATTTGACTGACGTATGTATTAATTCCTGCATATATTTAAAAAAACTGTTTCATTGTTTTGGCATGGTAATGGGTAGCCCCTTCAGTGCGGTGCCTACATACGTATATTTCTGTTGATTAACTACAGCAGAGAGGACCCACGCAATGGATCCAGATACCATAGCCTGATGGTGTTGTATCTAAGGTAGTTCGAAATCCAGAATATCCTCAGAAAAAATTTTAAAGTTTGAGGAAGAAGATCAACTTTTCCACCAAGAAGTACTGAGTACAAACCCACTAAGATGGGCGACCTGATACAGTAGGTCAATTTTTCCACCAAGAAATACTGAGTACAAACCCACTAAGATGAGCGACCTGATACAATAGGTCAACTTTTCCACCAAGAAGTACTGAGTACAAACCCACTAAGATGGGCGACCTGACACAGTAGGTCAACTTTTCCACCAAGAAGTACTGAGTACAAACCCACTAAGATGAGCGGCCTGATACAGTTCTCATACCACGATGTACTCACCAAGAGGGTAGTAGTGATTGGATCGTTTTTTTCTAACATTTCTTCTAGCTGGTTCTTCTTTGCTCGAGGAAGAATATACGTAAATTTACAACCCTTCAACCGTCCTTCACCTCCATATATCTTTTTTTACGAACGAAATGGAGAGCTCAGCCATCTTGAGTACTATACCTTCAAACCGAACCACAGAAAAGAGACCTGGTCCTCCATGTGGAGATGTCAAACACCCTCAGAAAAACCTGCCAAGACTAAAACCAACGTGGCTACGATAGACAGCACGGCCTCTGTAACTTCCCAAGTATCTATCCACACAGTCTACACTTTCAAAGTAATTAAATATTAGCGGAAGGAACTGCATAAGACTCTCGTAGGATCACGAACATAAAAACACATTGACTTAGCTAACCTCACTACAGTTCAGAATACCTTACTAAAGTTCAGAATACCTCACTACAGTTTTAGCTAACCTCACACAGTTCAGCTAACCTCACTATAGTTCAGTAACCTCACATAGTTCAGCTAACCTCACTATAGTTATTCAAACCCCACTACAGTTCAGCTAACCTCACTATAGTTCAGCTAACCTCACTATAGTTTTAGTAACCTCGCTATAGTTCAGCTAACCTCACTACAGTTCAGCTTAACTCACTGCAGTTCAGCTTACCTCAATACAGTTCAGCTAACCTCACTATAGTTCAGCTAAACCCCACTATAGTTCAGCTACCTCACAAGTTTCAGCTAACCTCACTACAGTTCAGCTTACCTCACAACAGTTCAGCTTACCTCACTACAGTTCAGCTAACCTCACCTACAGTTTTAGCTAACCTCACTTCAGTTCAGCTAACCTCACTACAGTTCAGCTAACCTCACTACAGTTCAGCTAACCTCACTACAGTTCAGCTAACCTCACTACAGTTCAGCTTACCTCACTACAGTTCAGCTAACCTCACTACAGTTCAGCTAACCTCCCTACAGTTCAGCTAACCTCACTACATTCAGCTAACCTCACTACAGTTCAGCTAACCTCACTACAGTTCAGCTAACCTCATACAGTTCAGCTTACCCACTACAGTTCAGCTAACCTCACTACAGTTTTAGCTTTAAACCTCACTACAGTTCAGCTAACCTCACTACAGTTCAGCTAACCTCACTACAGTTCAGCTAACCTCACACAGTTCAGCTAACCTCACTACAGTTTCAGCTAACATCACTACAGTTCAGCTAAACTCACTACAGTTCAGCTACATCACTACAGTTCATCTAACCTCACTACAGTTCAGCTAACATCACTACAGTTCAGCTAACCTCACTACAGTTCAGCTAACATCACTACATTTTAGCTAACCTCACTACAGTTCAGCTAAAAATCACTACAGTTCAGCTAACCTCACTACAGTTCAGCTAACACACTACAGTTTTAGCTAACATCACTACAGTTCAGCCCAACATCACTACAGTTCAGCTAACCTCACTACAGTTCAGCTAACATCACTACAGTTCAGCTAACATCACTACAGTTCAGCTAGCATCACTACAGTTCAGATAACATCACTACAGTTCAGCTATCACTACAGTTCAGCTATCACTACAGTTCAGCTAACATCACTACCGTTCAGCTAACATCACTACAGTTCAGCTAACATCACTACAGTTAGTAACTCATACAGTTAGCTATCACTACAGTTCAGCTAACATCACTACGTTCAGTAACATCACTACAGTTTTTATTATCACTCAGTTAGCTAACATCATACAGTCAGCTATCATTACGTTCAGCTAACATACTTCCGTTCATAACATCCAAGTTCAGCTATCACTACAGTTCAGCTAACATCACTACAGTTCAGCTATCACTACAGTTCAGCTAACATCACTACCGTTCAGCTAACATCACTACAGTTCAGCTAACATCACTACAGTTCAGCTAACATCACTACAGTTCAGCTAACATCACTACCGTTCAGCTAACATCACTACAGTTCAGCTAACATCACTACAGTTCAGCTAAAAGTTCAGCTAACCTCACTACAGTTCAGCTAACATCACTACCGTTCAGCTAACATCACTACAGTTCAGCTAACATCACTACAGTTCATCTAACATCACTACAGTTCAGCTAACATCACTACCGTTCAGCTAACCTCACTACCGTTCAGCTAACCTCACTACCGTTCAGCTAACATCACTACAGTTCAGCTAACATCACTACAGTTCAGCTAACATCACTACAGTTCAGCTAACATCACTACAGTTCAGCTAACATCACTACAGTTCATCTAACATCACTACAGTTCAGCTAACATCACTACAGTTCAGCTACATCACTACAGGGTTTAGCTAACATCACTACAGTTCATCTAACATCACTACAGTTCAGCTAACATCACTACCGTTCAGCTAACTCACTACCGTTCACTAACACACTACAGTTCACTAAAATCACTACTTCACAATCACTACAGTTCAGCTAACAATACGTTCACTAACATCACTCAGTTCGCTAACACATTTCGTTCAGCAACCACTACCGGTTCAGCTAACCTCACTACCGTTCAGTAAAAATCACACAGTTCAGCTAACATCATAATTTAAATTCAGCTAACATCACTACAGTTCAGCTAACATCACTACAGTTCAACTAACACACTACAGTTCAGCTAACATCATTTCCGTTCAGCTAACCTCACTACCGTTCAGCTAACCTCACTACGTTCAGCTAACATCACTACAGTTCAGCTAACATCACCCACAGTTCACTAACATCACACAGTTCAGCTAACATCACTACAGTTCAGCTAACATCACTACAGTTCAGCTAACATCACTACAGTTCACTAACATCACTACAGTTCAGCTAACATCACTAAGTTCACTAACATCACTACAGTTCAGCTAACATCACTACAGTTCACTAACATCACTACAGTTCAGCTAACATCACTCCGTTCAGCTAACAACACTACAGTTCAGCTAACATCACTACAGTTCACTAACATCCCCACAGTTCAGCTAAAAATCACTACCGTTCAATAACATCACTACAGTTTCACTAACATCACTACAGTTCAGCTAAATCACTACAGTTCAGCTAACATCATACCGTTCAGCTAACATCACTACAGTTCACTAACATCACTACCGTTCAGCTAAACATCACTACCTTTCAGCTAAATCACTACCGTTCAGTAACCTCACTACGTTCAGCTAACATCACTACAGTTCAGCTAACATCACTACAGTTCAGCTAACATCACTACGTTCAGCTAACATCACACCGTTCAGCTAACATCACTACCGTTCAGCTAACATCACTACCTTTCAGCTAACATCACTACCGTTCAGCTAACTCACTACCGTTCAGCTAAACATCACTACAGTTCAGCTAACTCCTACAGTTCAGCTAACATCACTACCGTTCAGCTAACATCACTACCGTTCAGCTAACAATCACTACGTTCGCTAACATCACTACCGTTCAGCTAACATCACTACAGTTCGCTAACATCACTACAGTTCAGCTAACCTCACTACAGTTTTAGCTAACCTCACTACCAGTTCAGCTAACATCACTACCGTTCAGCTAAACCTACAAGTTCAGCTAACATCACTACAGTTCAGCTAACATCACTCATCAGCTAACATCACTAAGTTCAGCTAACATCACTACCGTTCAGCTAACCTCACTCAGTTCAGCAAAAACACTCCGTTCAGCTTACCTCACTACCGTTCAGCTAACCTCACTTAGTTCAGCTAACTCACTAAGTTCAGCTAACCTCACTAAGTTCAGCTAACCTCACTACCGTTCAGCTTAAAATCACACCGTTCAGCTTACCTCACTCAGTTCAGCTAACCTCACTCAGTTCAGCTACCTCACTACGTTCAGCTAACCTCACTAAGTTCAGCTAACCTCACTAAGTTTTAGCTAACCTCACTAAGTTTTAGCTAACCTCACTACAGTTCAGCTTACCTCACAAGTTCAGCTTACCTCACTACAGTTTTAGCTAACCTCCACTACAGTTCAGCTAACCTCACTACAGTTCAGCTAACCTCACTACAGTTCAGCTAACCTCACTACAGTTTAGCTTAAACCCCACTACAGTTCAGCTAACCCACTACAGTTCACTACCTCACTACAGTTCAGCTAACCTCACTACAGTTCAGTAAACCCCCTACAGTTTCAGCTAACCTCACTACATTCAGCTAACCTCACTACAGTTCAGCTAACCGCACTACATCACTTACCTTTACTAAAATACGTTCAGCTAACTTTACTACAGTTCAGCTAACCTCACTACGTTCAGCTAACTCACACAGTTCAGCTTTAAATCACTACAGTTCAGCTAACATCACTAAAAGTTCAGCTAACCTCACTACAGTTCAGCTAACATCACTACCGTTCAGCTAACATCACTCAGTTCGCTAACATCACTACAGTTCACTAACATCACTAAAATTAGTCATCATACCGGAGCAACCACTAAAGTTAGTAACATCACCTACAATTCCTAACAAAACATAACATTCAAAAACCAATCCTACCAATTACAGTTACTAACACACAAACCTCACAACTATGCAGCAGTAACAGCACTCAGTTCACAACTTTCACTAAAAGGGGGGTAAGTCAGAGCGGGGCCCCAGGCCCACAAATGAATTTTCAGAGGGAGCTCAAAATTCAAACTTAAAACAAAAAATAAAGTGAACAAGTAAAAATCCTTTAACCGGATTCGCGGGGAAGAATAACCTAAAGAACAAAGACCCCAAAACTTATGCCTAAAACAGAAAACTCGTAGGGGCCCCCATGTACAAAGGTTATCCCAGATAAAAAGGAAAAGGGGTAGATGTAAAAAGAAAGTTTTGCAAGGCGCTCCCAGGGCGGAAAAAACAAACCAAAAGATTTTATAGAAA